TAAAACAATCTTAACAAAAGCAAAAGTATCTTCAGCCTTGTTGAAAGGCTAGATTTTCTTTGTGAGGAGGTATTAAGTGAAAAATTATAAAAACCAAACCTATTTCAATGAGCTCATATACCTGGCATCAAAGATATTCCTGAATATAGTCATTGTTAATATTCTAAGAAACTAGAAAGTTATAAGAGATGCCAAAAGATTGGGGGGGTTGAAAAAATTATCTTTATTTTTCTTAATTTTTTCACATGGGTATTTTCCTCAACATGATTAATTTTCCATGTTTTTGAGCTTTGCAAAGGTCATGTCATATTCTGTATTAGCAGGCCTGATACTCAGCCACTGCACACGGATATAGCCATAGTTAATGCTAAATACTGAAATATTTCCATATTGGTTGGTAAATAGTAATTCCGAAAAGAAGTAAAACTGGTTACTCATATAAGTTCTGGTACGTATTGTTTATCTCAAACCACACATGACACCCTGTGATGCGTTTATTGTTTAAACCCTTAGAGTGCCGGCGAGCACGATTGCGCTCCTCCTGTCTTTCGCCAAAAGTGCCGGGAGCGCTATCGCACTCCTGCAGTGTCCAGTTCTAAGTCTGCTTTTATTAGTGATGATGATATTGCTAAATATGTCAGTTCTTGCTGTGAAGATGATGATTTTGTGGAAGATATTGAATATGTATCTTCATTTACTTGCAATTCATAATTTTTTTCCTAAACTGCTGTAAAATCAGCAAAAATGCCTTGGCAATTTTAGCATAGTTCCTAGGATATTGGTTGGCACTCAAAGAGTTAAGCACTGAGGACAAAAGCTGAAAGGCTTAACTATAGATTTACTATTATTTCAAGTTTGGGAAATCTTTGGTTTTGTAAGCTCCTGTCCTGCTCAAGTGGATCCTGGAAGAGACTGGGTAGACACAGGTGTTTGGGGACCTAGCCCTTCTGTAGTCAAGTTTTGTTTTCTCGGGCATCTTGTTCTATGGTGCAGGGTGGCCTGTCATGTGCATTGAGGAGGTGTGAGGAGAAGGACTCCACCAGGACTCTGTTTAATACCCAGTAGAGTGTGCCCTCTAGCATGTGCAGCACAGCTCCCGCTGTGTGCGCCACCCTCTGCCCCTGGCGCATCTCCGGATGGGAGTATCACATTTGTGTGTCCTCTCTGCCTACACCTCCACCTCCAAGTCTACCTTTCCCCTCCCTTGCCTGGGCAGCCCACGCTGCTTGGACTTGAGAATAATTTGAGCCACAAAGTGAAGTCATTGTTTGACAACTTGATGCAAAAGGAAGGTGATGGATCTTAGGCGGCAGGGTTTAACAATGGTGTGGTCATTTTAGAGGTTTAGATTAAAAATATGTCAGGGTAACTGAAGAAGTAGCTTCTGCAGATGAATAGGCAACAAAGTTCCCAAACCCTATTAAGAAAGTAACTAAGGAGAAAGACTATCAGCCTGAACAGATGAAAGTACCCTATTCTGGAAAAAAAAAAATGCCACAAAGGTAATTTGTTAGTAAGAGGAGCAAGAACCAGGGTTTAAGGCAGGATGCGGGGATAGGTTAATGCTACCTTTTTGTGCAAGTGCAGTCCTGTTGATGACAGGACAGCCCTTATCTTTTAAGCTGGTAACCTCCAAGCCTTGAAAAGAAAAGATAAACACCAGTTGCCAGTCTTTTGGTTGTACATCAAGAAGGCCTGGACAAGGAGAACTCTTTTTCTGGATTGGTTCTGTCAATGCTTTGTCCCTGAAATCAGGAAGTACCTTCCCAGTAAGGGACTGCCCTTTAAAGTTCTTTGATAATTGCTCTAAGTCAGTGCTCTTAATCACCCAGAATTCCATGAGTTCAACACTGAAGTGTCAAAGTGGTCTACTTGCCCCCAAACAACGTCTATTCAGCCTCCAAATCAGGGAGTCCTTTAAGGTTCATTACACATGGTACTCGAGAAAGGATTGTCAGCACTAGGGGAGAGAACCTGGTAGAACATGGAAGTCTGGAAGGATCACATTACTGAAGATGCCATCGCAGTTATAAGACAAGTGTGAAAGCCATCAAGCCTGAAACAAGTCCCAGATAAAGAAAATTGTCCAGATGCTGTGCTGGACTTACAGGATCTATGACAGAGCCAGTTAAAGGAACCATGCAAGATTGTGGAGATGACAAAATACTAATAAAAAAGGTGAGTGTGGCCTGGCCGGTGTGGCTCAGTGGTTGAGAACTGACCTATGGACAGTGAGGTCATGGTTCGATTCCTGGTCAGGGCACATGCCTGGGTTGCTGGCTCGATCCCCAGTTAGGGGCTGTGAAGTAGGCAATGATTCTTATCATTGATGTTTCTATCTCTCCCCCTCCCTTTCTCTCTGAAATCAATTTAAAAAATATTTTTTTTCAAAAGTGAGTGAGAGTGTGTGTGTGTGTGTGTGTGTGTGTGTGTGTGTGTGTGTGTGAAGACTTTCAAGATGAGGTTCTTGGAGAAATTCAGGAGCTAATAGACACCACCCCAGAGGAATCAACAGGAGATGACGATGGAGGTGAGTGCCTCCAACCCAATGTCACGTGATAAGGAAGAAGACAGAAGAAGCAGTGCCAGAAAACAAATTGACAGACTATTTGGCAGAAGGGTTCTAATTATTCAAGACTACCTGGACTTCTCTTATGACATGGACCCTTCTATGATACAGACACAAAAACTAAAGCAAATAGAAGAGGGATTGGTACCATATAGAAACATTTTTAGAGAAATGAAAAAGCAAAAAGAAGACAAATTATGATATGTCTGTAAAGTTACACTGAGTGTGCCGGCCTCTCTTGCCTCCCCTTCCACCTCCCCATCTTGTTTCCCTCTGCAACCCTGAGACAGCAAGACCAGCCTCCTCAGCCTACTCAGTGTGAAGACCAGGAGGATGAAGGTCTTTTGTGATGATCCACTTCCACTGAATGAATAGTAAATAACCATTATGCTGTACAGTTAATTAACTTACCCGTTTTGTATGTGTGTGTCTTTGTGTGAAAATCTAATAACTATATGGTAAGAACTGTATGAGATGTTTTTGGGTCAGCATCATCGCTTAAGTGTTCATCGTGTAGAACATCATGTACAGTGTGTTTATGGAAGTGGATTTTCATTACATCAGCATAAGATGAGTGATATTCAATATAGAATTGATAATGCATTAGTTTTCTTACTGTTTTATAAGTTTGCTTTCAAAGAATTACATTACTGTACAGTATGCCTCTCTTCTAATTGGAGATAATGCGTATCAGCCTACCATCACAGGTAAGTGGTTTTTTAAAAAGTAACAATGTTTTCAATACCATATTACGAATATGACTGTACTACTCTATACCATAAAAATGTCATAACGATTCATTCATTAGTGTATAGGCTAGGTTACTGTGATAGCTGTCCTATTGATTACAGTAGGCTACCATAAAGCAATCATATTGCTGCTGCTTCATTAGCAGTGCATGAATTGTTATGTGCTTGTAGTATTAATTTGCTTTTTACATTATTTTTTCATTTTTGATATCTTGTTAGTAATAAATGTAACATATACAATGTTTTATATCATACAAGACTTGAGGTAGGCACTGACAATCTTGTAAACAGATGATGTAAACACAGTACAGTAAATATAGTGCAGTACTAGAAATGTATTTTTTCCTATAGTTTTCATAATACTTTATTTTTGTAGCTTATTTTACTGTAAGA